ACTCATTAATTCGCCTTCCATTGGGATTGACGCTGCGATCAAAGAGCATCCAACTACTAGCACAGTGGGCATACTTCAGGCGAAGCATCTTGAGGGATGCCATTGAACAAATGCCACTGCCAACACTACCCACTATTTCATGTGCATGGCTTTGCAACGTTACTTTGTGGAGTAGATGTGGAAAGGCTACCATCCCACATCGATGGGAAAGAGGTTTGTTAGTTCTACACTGCCAACAATGAACAGTAGCATCAAGTGTTGCAATAACACAGCTTGACCAGCAACAAAACACGACTGGTCCATCACACCAGGTGACAAGACAAGCGTATTACCTAGTAAATGACCTTTGATGTTATTTGATGAGCAACAACTTTGCTACTGCCAACATCGTTTCTGACTGCACTCCATTGGCGGACAATGAACACCTCACCTCATGATTACCTCCTTCCCATTCCAGCGAGCACACTGAATTAGCTGTGGCAGCAACTGTCAAAAATAAAGCGGAGAACCAAAAGAGCATTTGTTAAAAGCAAAATCGCAGTAGAGCACGGAAACACAGGTAAGTAAATAATTTGACATGAAGGGGCACGCACTTCTGCAGATGGGTGTTTCCTCCTCGCACAAATTCATCAAGTATCTAGTCATCACTCAATTGTTCTTTGACAACACTCTTCTATTCATCAGAGTCATCTACGTCTGAAACCAAAATGGGAATTCCTAGCACAAATGCACACTACCATAAGCTAGCATATAGGTCAGACCGAAAGTAGAAATTGCGTTCCCCCTTCTCACGACGCCAGTTACCTAAACTGCACTGCTTCTTTCCCCTATTAAGTACCATTTCTCGACAAATTGAAATTAACCTTTGTTTGAAGTGAGTAGCGTAGCAAGTGTAGTTCGTGTTTTGGCAATTAGTCTAGATGCCTGCATTCCTCTACTTTGATGGCGATCAAAACATCGCCTTTTCCTCGCCACTTCATAAGGCCACACAAAGATGTGAAGTGGACGATCAGTCCACATTACCCAAAGGCGATGAATAAATATAGCAGACTTTTCTCTCATCAAACGTAGGGCAAACAACAAAGGGCAGCGAGATCGTATCAAGTCTTCGTGGAAACCTGGCTTCCTTCATATTCTTCCAGATCTTCTTCACCTTCTTCCATTTCTGCATCCTTCTCCGTGGCGTGGTAGGTGAATACAGTACAATAGAGATGCGAAAGAGCAACATTACCCGTCCTAAGTCGATCACTGAAGACGGAAAAGAAGAGGCAGAAATAGACACAGAAATACAACGTCAACGCTAATGAGTAAATGTCCACTTTAGGCAGGTACAAACAGGGATAAGAACATACTTGATAAACTCAACGGCAAAGAGTAGAGATGCGCCCCTTTCATCCACACCAATGGATCCTAGAATAGTGACCACAGCGATCAGACTCGAACTAGGAATATGGGGCAACGCAGTCACGTACGCGATGGTAAGAATGCTAAAAGAAGGTTAGGCGATACAGGAGGAGGAAGCAGAGTGGGCAACCGTGATGATGTGACTCACATCACGAAGATAACTTTGCCAGCATCAAGCTTCACGTTTGTCTGTTGAGCAGCGAATAAGCACGAGGCTGCGATGAAGATGGCCGACGCGTCACTTTTCATAGCTCCGGCAAACGGCAGCACAAAACGGGAGATGCGTTTAGGAATGCCGTATTTGTCACAAGCCGTAAAGGCCTGAGGCATGCAGACCAAACTGAGGAATGAAAAAAGGCAACAGAGGTGCAAGAGACGCCCCAATTTTAAGGAAGATGCACTCTTGACTCGTAGAACCAACTCACGTGCTTGTTGTAGCGAATGCAATGAAGTAGGGTGTGAAGGGATTCTTGCAGAGCACAGTAATGCTGAGGAGGAGGAACATGAGGTGGGTGATGTGACCCACAATGTTGAGGAGGACGAAGAAGACGAGGGAAATGAAGGTGTTGGTAATTCCATCCAACTTCGCGATCAAGCTCATCATAATGAACATTACACCCACTGGCGTTACCCTGTTAAGAAGGAGAGTCATTCCGTCAGACCTCCTGCCGCAATGTTATGGTGCCTTTCCAATCATAACCAAACACGCATTGCTCAGTGACCATGCCTAGCACATTCCTCATTCGTCCACACCTTCTGAAGGCGGTATACATAAATGCAACTTACAGAAGGAACTTCTGCACCGACACCATCACGACTTCACTGAGGGAACTGAAGAACTCCTTAAAGGGCTCACACTTTTCCTTCGCAGCATTTGCTGCGATGCCAAAGGCAAGGCAACAGAAGACGACACCTAGGACACGGAAGGTAGTAGCATGCGGAAAGAACACGAAGTATACTTTTGCGTTCGTGGTGTAAAATAAGGCCTGATTTCACGCAAATTGACCTTGCTTTTGTGTTTATACTTTGTGATCCCAGTCTACATTTTATTCCGAAACCCGTCTCACTCCTGTTAGATCTATCTTTATCTATAAGTCGCGCAGTTGCTCACTCTTTTTACTTGGCCTAGACGAAGTAGATGTAGACTACTAGTAAACACTCCGAATCCACGATCAATCTGTTACTTTAACTACGCGTGACTTGGACTGGCAGTAACTCAGTCGTCATGCCTTTACCGTTGGTCATTTGGCGTCTGTTTGGAAGCCATTGTCGGTCTAGCATAGAGTTTGAGGTTCGTCAGGATCGAAGCAACTGATACGCAGACCGACTTCGTAGAGCTGAATTATTAAGTATATAACACACTCTAGGTTTGTGGCAGAGCTAGGTGCTTGGTCTAGGCCCTCGATGTGACACTGCATTTAGAGCGTTTAACATGGAGGAGAGGGTGAAGGGGGTGGTGGGGGAAGTAAGGGAGTAAGATCAATATAGCTCTCGTATTTGGACGAAATGATTAAAGGTTCATCGCTTACCGATCATGTTTGTTCCATCCAAGGTGATTGAGGGGTAAATGATTTCGCCCTTGCTGGTGTTTTGTGGTCGACTGAAGTCAGTGGCTGCCTGCTTGATCGTCATACCGACAAGGTTATCGGGAAAGATGTTCCTAGAAGCAAACGCTAAGCTAGCCAAACTGCTATCAAGCCCTCCGGCAGTTGACGAGGGCGAATATATGCAAATGGGTGGTAGTGGGAGCTTACAGCAAAAGGTCCTTGAAGATGTAGGAAATTTGGTTTTTTGAACTCGGGAGATTATCCTGAGGAGCTGATCCAGATCCTAGTGTTTGAGCCATTATCCTTCCTGTTTTTAGCCATAAAATGCGAAATATTGTGGCAGAATGTTCGTTCTGCAGTGCAATAAACTCTCTTGAATGTGAATTGTGGGGAAGCTTTTGTCATTCAATACATGACATGCTCATCTGTGTTCTTAATTTTTTTTCCTTGGGTTTCTTTTTCTCGCCTTACCTGCCCTCTCATTACGTCTCTTTTTGCTGTCAAGTGTGTGACAATGCCAATCATTAATCCTATTGCTTACAATGTGCAGCACAAATCCACTAGCCTCTGCCATTATCGACTGGCCAAGAGTGAGGACGGACACGGTGGGGGAATGTGCCTGCACAAAACTAACCAATTAGACCTCGTTTGGACCTACCTGGGTTAATGATGTATGAGTAGGCAACTCCGATAAGTGCACCCAGAAGGTTGAAGAGGAAAATGAAGCCGAGCGCAACCGCACTGACCTTCCCGTTCTCCTTCGGATTGAGGTTCGACATGACTGCAGAAAGGACAAGTGAGTAGACTGTCAGCAGTAGTCATCATGCAGACATTAAGTGAATGACTGGCTTGTATACTGAGGATTCAAACTGCTCATCCGTGATGATGTTTGACGAGATCATAGGAAGAATGGTCAACTTCATTACCCGAATGTAGATGGTTCCAGGCAGTGCTGAAAGAGGGAATGGGAATTCCATCAGTTATATCCACCACAGCCTCTATGCAAATTAGCGAAAAGACGTCTGGAGAGCATGAGGTTGGATGGGATGGAATGAGATAGCATTCGATGGGATGAGATGGGAAAGGGTAGTGTTACTTAGATCAACACTGTTGGTACTGGCAACAGTGGTTTTGAAGACTGATTGGGGAAGGGTCGACTCACCGAGCCACATTTTGCCAGTTTCATTCAAACCGGCTTTTTGAATGCCAAATCCGGCAGCGAAACCGATGGCAACATCGATAATGGTGCTAATCATGAACCAGTTGTTAATGCGGCATCCGACAAAGCCCTTCCTTTTCTTCTCTGACACCACAAATTCGTTTTCCTCAGAAACTGGATCCTCAACAGACAATTTTGCATTTGCCATTCCTTCGCTTCCTCCTCTTCGCACAGTAGTGGAGACAAACTATAAAATGGGCTGTATAAATACACTGTTGGCTTTGTATGATGTCCTTTGGAGTTACAACAATCGGCAGTAGTTAGTTGCTTAATGGTAGAAAGAGTGCAAACCAGGGGTGTCACACCAAGCGAACACGTGGCACCACTACAAAGATGAGCTCTTTCACACAGCCTCTCACACTCACCTACTCTCCCAACCTTCGGTTGCTGGCTCGGCTTCACTCTTGAATTGGCGCGCGATCTGGGCACCTTTCGCAGGTGGTAAATAGGCACCTGTGCGCGTTAAATATCATACCCCGGAACAAGTGTGTAGCCAACAAAATGACAAATTATAGTCTGCACAAATTGGTTGTGGCAGTTGTAGCAGTCTGAGGCTTGATTTCATAATCTATCACATGCCGTTGGCGTCGAAAGGAAAACAGCCTGCTACAGAATTCTGTGTACTTGACCGAGATAGTGGATACGACGTTCCCCTTACAGGAAGAGAGATCGGGGTGCAGATGAGTCAACTGAGGTTGGCACTCCTGGCATGGAATGACTGCTCGTGTTCACTACGCCTACGAGGGTGCATGACATCCTATTGAAGAAGTTGGCAAAATGAACACTTTATCCCATTGCTGAATAGACGCAAATTTTTATTGTGGGATTGGTCCCCGTGATGATGTGCCGTTCATACAATCCATTACTGCTAGTGCATGACATCCTGCCCATGACATGGTCAGTTGAAATGACGAGTGCACAATCAGTGATTGAAATCACCTGAAAGTAAAGTAAGAGTTGATTCATTACTTGAACTTATATTTCAGAGAAGTGGTTGCCTTTTTATGATAATACATGGTGTGGCGATTACCGACTCCAGTCTCCTAGAGGAATTAAGTGTCTGGGAATGTGCGATGTAAAGGTCTCTGAAATTATGTGGATGAGGAGTTGCCCAGGGGCACATAGACCTGCTCCTACACCACCTGCGTGGCAGTCGAATCACGGGGGACTAGAACTGTCCTCCTAATAAACCTAAAAGTTGGTACTTATTTAACATATTTACTAAATGCTTCGATTCCTTCTGATCGACTCAATATAAGAAGAGAATCCCATTAATTCAGGCTCGTGAATTGATGGTTCCACGATTACCTTACCTTACAGGAAGACAATTCCCTCTTCGATTCATTAGATTAACTCGTCCATCTTCAAGGTCTTTGATTTACTCACCCCTCTCTGCAACGGTCACTGCCATTGGCAGTGCAGTCCCTGGCACCTCACCTCTACACTCCTCTCTTTTCCTCACCTAACGATGGAATGCTACCAACTGATGTTGAGTGCGCGAGTACAAGTCCTGACGTCCCTCCATCTCATCCACCTCCCAACCGGATAGTCAATGCACAGCGACTCCACGACAGATGATCCCATCACTCGATCCATCTCTCGACACAGACGGGGCAGCAAGGAGACTCACGTTGAGAGTGCGCACTGCCTGGAGTTATGACATCCACCCACCTACCCATCCACCCAAGAAAATGCAAACTTCTAGCACGACTCCTCGATGTGAACGTGTTCATGTGGTTGCAGATGCATGGATGACTACTTTGTAATGCATAAGTATCGGCATCTGCCTTAGCAGAACCCCGCCCCACCCCAATCCTCATTTCGCAGAAATATCAATTTTCACACTGCTTTTACTCGAATCTACCGTTTTGGGTGGGCATAAATCTGATAAACTGCTGCAAATGTGACATACCGTTGTTAAAGAGACCCAGTTGTGCCATTGCAAGCAAAGGATTATAATAAAAGTAGGGCATTGTTTGCGTTTACTTGTGTCGTGCACCACTTCATATAATAAAATGTAGAGTCTCATGCCCTCCATCCAAGAAATGTAATTCTTCGAGTCCTCACTATGGGGCAAAATCAAATTCCTTCACTACAGCTCTATTGTTGTTTGCACTGCAATGCCACTCTGCCTTCACATGCTAGCAACGTTATTCTATCAAACATAGAATCTGCAAAAAATAGTACAATTAACTG